TTTCCTCCTCTTGCCAGTCACCGTCATTATTAGTATTTGTTGATGATTGAGTATTTACACTTGGTACATTATTCGCGATCTCAGTATCACTCTCAAAATCGTCAGACACTTGTTCAGTATTTTCAAATTCATATTMWCTACCAGAATCGGAAAAATCATAATTTTCGTCACTATCAGAGTTAAAAAGCATCTGCTCAATTTGTTGTTCATAATTTCGATTCATATTGCATAACCGTTTTGGTCGAGATGGACCGGATTTATTCAATGTATTATCCATGTTCATAATATAAGTAATACGAAAGTAAACGAAATAAAAAAAAAAAAATCGTCCAAAAGAAATAAAATGTATATAATTTAACTATAAAATGTATAAAAACAATACAATGTGAATACGTACGTGTTTCATCAACGACCGACGATGGAAAAATGATTGCAACGGTAGTGAATTTCTTGAAAATACCGATAATTAACTTGATAAAGGAATAGTAAACATCCCAAAATAAAATAAAAATATTATAGACTAAAAATAGAAATATCGATGTGCGATTGCACACACGTATTAACTAATATCTATAGATAACGCTGACCGAAAATGAGGTTTTTGATTGTAACGCGGACTAAATTATAATGTATTGAAAAATAGTGTGCGGATGACGCCATTTGGTGAACAATATGTTTCAAGTAGTATGGTCATATCAATTGTGCACATATTACAAACAAAAATTGATGAGGCAGCAACAACTCAAGTTTTTAGCAAGCAACTAAAAAACGCATTAAAACATATGTGTTCTAAGCAACTAGGACAAATAGAAAATGTTTCATTTTTAGCAATTGTTACAGTACTAGATCCTAGATTCAAAAGAATTTATTTTAAAAATGCAGTGGCATTATACAAAATATTAAATAAAATATCTGAAGAAATCAAGACATATCAAACAACATCTGAAAGTTCATCTGATTCTTATGAATCGCTTGGTGAGTAAATATAATCTAGTATAATGTGCGTAAATTAATTCATTGAAACATATTATTAATTTTTAGAAAATAAAGGATTTAGGCTATGGAATAACGATGAGAAAATTGTTCAACAAAGTGGCCGTAGTCGTGGGCGAGCCTCTAGAGAAGAAATTGGTTTTCATCTGAATTGAATTTATACTTGAAAAGCTCTGTAGGTAGGTTGACAGACAACCCGTTATTACTATAGAATGATATGTCCTCAGTTTATCCAAATCTGTCTAAAATTGCATTAAAATATTTGAGCACGGTAGCTACTTCGGTAACAAGTGAAAGGCTTTTCTCCAAAGCAGGCTTGTCTATGAATCAACAAAGAAATCGTCCAACAAGCAAAATGTTAAATATTTTATTGTTTTTACAATCTATGGATGAAAGTTTATGGGAATTGTAATTTTTTTTTTTAATTTTTACAATTTTTTTTTCACATAGTCATAATTGTTTTATGTCATATTAATTCATATAAAAATGTCATATAACGAAGATTAAATTATTATTTATTATTTTTTTAAGCTTTTAATTTTTTGTTTCATCAATTTTATAATTTGTACCTATCATTTTATTTTAAGTATTTAATATAAGTATATATAATAGTATTTTAACTCTTGAATTTATTATTTAATCGGGAAAATAGTTCACTGTACAGATAATAAGAAGTGCAACAAATACTATATAAATGGTCCATTATTAATTTTATTTTTAATTCATTTTGAAAATAGGGAGATAATTCATTGCAAACTATACCAGTACATTTAGTTCTACGCAGTTTCAACGAATCAGCGTCCTTAGATGACTTAGAACAATTTTCACATAATTCTCCC